GGTCTCGGGTTTGAGTCTTTGTGGATGCAGAAAACCCTTGTTGGGAGACTCACCCACCACTGCCAGGTGTGCGACCTGGGTCGACCAACATATTAGTCGAAGCATAGTTCCGGTCTTCCGGATACTGTGGCCGGCTACCAAAAAAAAAGAAAAAAATTACAAGTGTACTTCAATATATCCATCACTCTCTTCCGATCAGAAGCTTCCCCTAAGGAGCCATATCTTCGGGTAGATATTATGGGAAATGTTACAGTTCCATTACGGAACCATTCCGTCAGAATTTGTAATCGTTAGATCATCATGTAACTGTCGTGAATAATTGATCTAACGGTTACAAATTCGGACGAAATGGTTCCTTTACTACATATCTTTTTTTTTTTTCTAATTTAGAAATTTTGAAAATTCTATTTCAATTTTATTTGGTCACACAAATCAGCCGTATGCTAATATTATATGAAATGTTCTCTAGATATCTGTTGTTTATATTGCTCTAAAATATAATATTATTTGTGATGGCTTCCTATAAGAATTTTCGTATTACAATATTACAATTAGAGTAAATTTTGACATTTCTAGCTTTGAAACAAGTATAGAAGTAAACGAGGTGAACCGAGTTCGAATCGATAAACAAGCTCAAGTTCAACTTGTTTATTGATATTATCTAGCCAAACTCGAGTTTTAACAAGTCGAACTCGGGGAAACTAACTAATTAAACTAGGCATTGGAAGAACTTAACATGGTCGAACCAAATCATGCTTACAAGCTGCTTGTTTCGAAACATGAATACTTGCAACACGACAGAGTGTTTGGATTGTATTTATATTTCATTATACTAGTACAGACGTACACATGTGATGCCAACGACAGTGCGTTGGTATTTCCCGAATCATATGATCGACTTCAGCCTTTAGTATGCTTATTATAATTGTAATAACCACTTTTGTTAATAATACAAATAGTTCAAATCCATATCATATATTGAGCTATGTATAATTAAAAAAGCCTCCAATCAAAATAATTTATTTATTAGTTAAATGAAACCTAAAGACTGTTAGCTTTAATCCTAACTTTTATTAATTCAAATATAAAAGGGAGCAATAATCAAATTTTTTATTCCTAAAAATAAAATAAAAATTATGATTTGTGGTAAATACTAATTTATATATAGCTCAAATTGAGTTGAGCTTTGTTTTTTATATTCACCGTTAATCCTACTCAATGAGTCTATAAATTATAGAATGAATGAATAATTAAAAAAAAAAAAGAAAAAAACGAATCATAACAGACATGTGTCAATTTTCTTATGAAATGAAAAAGAGTTGACATAAACAAAAGATTAATTATATGAGGAAAGGGGTGTGATGTGGGTGTATGAAACAGAGGATCAAGTTTGGGGGCAGCTCATAAAACAACAAAAACGACCTTTTTAAGTAGGGACTTGTTTCTTTTATTTGACTCGACTCATTAAGTAAGTAACAGCTAGCCAGATATATAGCTAATAATCTATGGTATGCACACGGAAACGCGTCCACACGTGCTATATTTGCCTGTTCTCCTAAAACATTTTTAATAATTGTGAGTTATCCGAAACTTGACATTATAAAATTTTAGAGTAAATTGCAATTTTCATACTTAAATCAAGACCCATTTTTTCAAATTAAGGACTTTTTTAAAGTTTGTACTCGTCTTTCATACTATGATGATAATTCAGTACTCATGTATAGTATATAACAGTTAGCATACTATGATTATAGTTCAATACTCATGTATATTACTATGCAAACTGTCAACAACATTAGTACGCGACTGTCAATTCCCCGTTAGTAGTGAACGAACCTAACATCGAATTTACTGTTTCAATTACAACATTTTGTTTTGCTCTGGTTCGCACCAGAGAAGAAAAAAACCTTGAATTTTCATTCGATTCCTCAAATTGCAGTCCGATTCAACAAATTTTAGCTCGATTCTTCTATTTGCAGCTTGATTCATCATTTTGCTTTAAACGACATGAAATCAAATTTTAATTTGATTTTTTTTTTTTCATATTCCTTACACGTATGATTGAAGAAATTACAAAGTATTATCGTGATGATGGGGTGGGAGCGTTGATTATTTTGATAAAGTTCACTGGAAAAAGTTGGGTCTTATTGAAATGTATGAGTTTTTCAAACAATTAGGCTATGAGGAGCATAATATTAGGTTTTAGTATCAGTATGGTCACTCTTTGTATAGGGAAGCAAAAGTCGTGATTAAAGATTCCGATGGGTTTGACATTCTATGTTTATTCCTCAGAATATGGAGGTTCTTATTTACATTGAACATTTAAATCATCCACAAACTAGTCGGCCTTTTAATTTGCAAGATTGAACCTGAGATTGATATTAATATTTCCTTTCTTGGTGACATTAACAACATAGCAACCCCCTGAAACAAAGGCTAACCATGACTTCTGTTGAAACTAATAGTGATGATTTGCTTGATTCTGACCATGACATGATGGGGATGATAGGTTGTATGAGAAACTTGTTGATCATGATATTGAGTTTGGTGGCTTAGGGAAAATTTTGAACCTAAAAAAAAAAATATTAGGAGCATATGTTACTTATAGGTTAGAAGGGGCTACATTAGAGCATGTCATTAGTAGTGATGAACTTGAAAGTTTTGTTGGTTCTGGTGAAGATGACTTGTCCATGCCAAAGTACCCCAAGTACAACCCTGCTACTGAAAGTAGGAACTCAATCCTTAAATTAGGATTGAATTTCAGTTGCAAAACATAAGCAAATCATGCCATTGAGACTTACTACATTAGGGGTGAGAAGTCAATTTGCTTTGACATGAATGATAACAGAAGGCTTAGGGAAATACGCAAGAGTGAGAGTTGTCCAAGGAAAGTCTATGTTGCTTTAATGCAACATGACAGTAGTTGGCAAGTTAAGGTTTTCAATGATGAACATGGTAACTGTGCTTGGAGTTATAATAATTCTTCTATAAATTAAGTGATCGTCGGTTGGATAACATTTAATGAAAGAAGTCTAAAAGAATATTAAGATACAAATTACATGCTTTAGAGAACATATGTGTCCTACATTGGAGGAAACATATCTAAGCATCAGGCTTATAGGGCAAACATTGTTGCAAGACAACTTTATGAGGGTGATGTGAAAAAAACAATATAGTAGTTTGAGAGATTATTGTGTTGAGCTACCGAGGGCTTATTTTGGGTCAACAATGATCATAAAATTAACTAAGAATGAGGGTGTGGTCAATCAATTAACTCAGAATTAATCTAATTTAAGTATAATGTTTCCTACTTGTAGTCCTACACAAACATTTAAAACTTCATGTCAAGAGATTTTCCTTGTTTTCATCCTATTACTTTAGGGAACTATACGAGGGACCTACCCCAATTTAAATTTTCAGATCAAATGATTCGACCATCTAAATTAGAAATATTTTTTCTTGGATAAAGGATGTGATGTGCGAGATCGATCAACTGATATTATTTAATTATATTGATAATGTTGAGGATGGTTGACTTAAAACATTATCGACTCAAAAGTGATCCGATAATCTATATCTTGGTTAACTTATTTCTTTCACTCCTTTCAGTCGAGCTACTTCATGCCTCGAAATTTCAATAATTTAGTTGAAAAGGCGCAAAACAATGAACAATTACAATTATCTTTTTGTCAACGTGAATATGACTATCTATATTTAGGCGGTCTAACAAAAGGGAGTGTATTTGTTTGATATTTTGAGTGATATTTTAATTTTTTTAAAATTTGAGATTTTTTAGATCTTCATATTTTGAAATAATCATATATATGAAATCTTATGTCTCAAAGTTTTTTCTAATAAAATCTCGGCAAATCTTAAGAATTTTTAATAAATCTTAATCTCAAATAAATTTTTATTTAAAAATCTTAAGTCTATAAAATAAGTTAAATATTTCATAACGTAAAATTTTTTAAAATCTCAAATATATATTCCTAGACTTCTATAAATTTATATATTTTTTTTTAAAAAAAATCCAATAAATACACCTCCTTCACAGCTACAGCATACAACATTACCACGAGAGCAAGAGGATCGTAAATGTAATTGAATGGCTGGAAAAGCTCGTTCAAGGGCATCACACACACAAACACACACACACACACACACACACACACTCACGCTTGCGAGCTATGAAGGCTGCACCATCTCCATTTCCAATCCTAACCCCCGTTCGCTCCCAAAATCTCCACGCCCCTTTCAAACTCCACCTCATAACCCTCAACTCCTCCGCCGTCTCGTCATCACCTAGAGCGGTAGTCCCTTCCCCACCGCCGACCTTCAATTTCAAGGACCAAGTTCTCAACACCTCCACCGCCGCAATAGCCGAAACCCACCCTGAATTGATCGATTTGGCTAGAAATGGAAAATTGGTGATGATCAGGAAAAGCCAGTACGGCCCCGTGCCGCCGTGGAGAAGCGATTTTGGGGAGCCAGAGGCTATCTGGATAATCGGGACGAGCCATGCTTCCAGAGTATCATCTTCGGATGTTGAAAGAGTAATAAGTGCTGTGAGGCCTGACAATGTCGTCGTCGAGCTCTGCAGGAGCAGGCCAGTATTTTTCTACCCTTTGTTCATGGTTATTGTGAGCTGGTGCTGCTTGACTGCTATTGTTTTTTTCGTTTGTGATGTTCGTTACATGGGTTCTGCCTTTTGATGTATCCAAAACTGATTACTGTTCACTCTTCCTTTTCTTTTCTTTTTAAAGAAAGGATTTTGGTGGTTCAGTTTAACTGATCAAGGTAAGAAGATAAGAGATATAGACAACCGCTGTCATACCCATTATAGTTGATGAGGTAGAATGAATAATGTTATTGTGATGTTGGAAGTTTGGTGATATGGCTTAGCTGATGTTTCTGGTACAATTATAAGTGGATTTGAGTGATCATTGCATAATTGATGATAGGGGAACTTTGTAGTTTGGAGAAATTTGAAAAGCTATTAAACGTGGACATAGCGATAAAAGGGGGAAAAAAAAGGAATTGAGTGAAAGTTCTCCATAAGCAGTGACCGTTTGTTTTCTGATTATAAGATTCATTATTGTGGAACTCGCTGTTTGGAGAGATGAGCCCTTTACGTGAAGCATTGAGGGTTTCAAAGACTAAACAGTCTTAACTTATCCGGTAAAGCACATGACAAATGTATGGTTAAAATAATTGAGTTGTCAAGGAAAGGTTTCGAGTTGAAGGATTTGTTTCCAATTGTATTCAAATTGCCAACAGACCGACGACTTGGTTTTGGTTATTAGATTCATTGTGGTACTCGTTACGTTTATGTTCTAAAATTGGGATTATGGATGGAGAGCACAACACATTGATTAATATGACCGATTAATAATTTTCACACGTTTATTTACTCCTGATTGGCTATTATTGAACCAGCCATATACAGTAGATATAAATTAAGTAACGGAAGTCATACCACTGTACTATTCCTTTGGATGGACTGAAACTTTAGGATCTTGTATCACTTGATGCTGAAGAATTTGTGCATACGTGGGAAAAATGAGTGATCTTTTTGGGAGGAGTCTCGGCTCATGTTCTCATAACTTTAAGTGGCTTTAGATATGTAGGATTTTCCTTAATAGTTTTATATGCATATCTTAATTACCAGTATACATTTTTCGATCTACGTCTTAACTTCATCTGTTGCAGAGTTGTTTTCCAGAGCTGGGATCATGTACACTCCTGAGAATGGGGAACAAAGCCAGCAGCTGAAGTCAACCATGTTCTCTTTGAGTGGGACTGGGTTTTTTGGTGCTATTGGTCGAAGCATAAATTTGGGTTTGTATTAATAACTTTCTTGTGTGGGTATTTAACTTAATTTTCCAGTGGCAAGTACTTTATGATTTTTCTGTATGATAGGGGGTCAAACGGCTTTAGCATTACGGTTGCTCTTGGCGACTTTCTCTTCTAAAGTATCTTCAGATATTAATCGTCCCTTTGGTGATGAGGTAGATTCCTTTAGTCTCATCTTTATCAACTGGTTTTCTAGTGTTAGTTTGACCAAGTTGCCACTGAGCAAGTTTAAATGCACTTTCCAGTTTCGTGCTGCTCGAAAGGCTTCTGAAGAAATTGGGGCTCAGTTAGTCTTGGGTGATCGTCCTATAGAGATAACTGTAAGTAACGTATTTGGTTGTCGTTCATTAAAAAAGACTATGAAAACCTCTGTATTCTTACGTTGGATTTGAAGTTATGTAGCAGCTGCATTGGTCCCAAGCGAGAAGCTGTAGATTGTTTAATTGACTTTGTTTCTTGTTTGTGTTTCTGCTTTATTATTGATACATGAATAGATGTTTATTATTTTTTTATTTTTTATTTTTTTTCTCTCTCTCAGCTTGAAAGGGCGTGGAGTTCATTGAGTTGGAAAGAGAAATTGAGTCTAGTCTCCTCTGTCTTTCGAGGAATAACTTCATCTGACCTTTACAACAAGGAGATGGAGGTTTGCCACTCAAATCTTTTAAAATCATGATTGTGTAAAACCCTATAACTGATGTCCGTTTAATTGAGCGTATTGCATGGTTGCGTCTAGTCTCATATTTGGATTAAATTGTCATTTAATGATGGAAAAATAGCGATGTATTATGCTATTTGTTACAACTTGCTAGTTTCAGTGTGACTATTATATACATGTAGCCATTTTTTTGAAAACAATTTACTGGTTAAAAAATAGCATCATGCACCATTAACAATAGGTCCACATGCAGTTCTGACACTTGGACAACCTAGTTCTTATCAGAACTATATCGGTATATCCTATATCTAGATATATACATATAGAACTTAACAGTGTTCTATTTTCCAGGATGGTGATGATAACAGTTCTCAACTGTATGAGCAGTTAAGTGTTTCATATCCATCACTTCTGCCTTCTCTCATAACTGAACGAGATATGGTAAGCAACTCAAAAAATTACAAAGTATACATTTGACTAAATGGAAATTGTTATATGCGGCATGCTATATCTATAATAGAATTATATTATGTATGTTCCAAATTTTGTTTTTCTGGGCTTTTGTTCCGTCACAAATTTAGATTGTTGCAAAGTTATCACGATATTCATTTCCGTTTTTGTTTTGTTTTCTTTCCCGAAACCATTTCACATAACCACTTCGAGTCGTCAGCCAAGTCAAGTGTGCTTTATATGAATTATTACTTGGGCGAGGATAATGCATTCATACCCAATATCGTGCCTTGTAATTACCCTACTTCCATACATATCCATACATAATTACACTTTTTAGTCCAGAGTATCCGCAAAATTTTAGTTTGCCATAATCGAAACATCAGAATAAACAAGATAAATATTTTACGTGCGTACTTCTATTTTCACGTTAGCATAGGCGTATCGATATGTGCATAAAATCCACATCCTTGTGCAATTTCGCTTGTCTATCCGTGCTTAGATAGCTAAATTATATATTTTTTTTTCGTCTGTCCTTTTTTTCTATTTTATTTTCATTTGTATTGTTATTTTCTTTCAGTTCCTTGCATGGTCAATGAAAAGAAGCAAAGCAGTAAATAACAGCAAGAAAGTGGTGGGAGTTATTGGCATGGGGCATATGAATGGCGTAATCTATTCGCTTTTGTCCGATACAGGAAACTTACGCTTCCGAGACCTTGCTGGAAAGAGGCCCGAAAATAACTATGGCTTTCTTGGTTCTATTGCTAAGGACTTGTTGAGAGACACCATTATTGGTGTATTACTATGGCTATTGTATGAACAGTTCAAGTCACCATAGTAGCATCATATTCGAAATTGACTTCATAATTTATGTAGAAAAACCATAAATTTTCTTACATGCAGAACATGCAGTTATATAAGGGAAGATAAGGACATGTCAGATCGATATATATGTATATTTTTGGATTTGTGTCAGATGGAAATTTTGGTTCATCTGACAGTCATATTTGGCTGAATTTGCTGTTTCCCCCCCAACAATTTTTTTTTTTTTTGTTCACTAATAGAAATAAGTCCCATTTTGCACTTTATAAGATGATTCTTACATTGATTCAACAAGCCCCATCTTAATAACTTTGGGAGATGTTATGGTCCCGTTACGGAACCATTCCGTCGGAGTTTGTAATCGTTAGATCAACTATCTCCGAGGTTACACGATGATCTAACGGTTACAAACCTCAATGGAATGGTTTCGTAATAGGACTGTAGCATCTCCCAAATAAGTTATTAATTAAGAGACCTATCTATATTTCAACCAATTTAATTCTTGTACATCATCACTGATACTAGTGAGTATACAAAGGCAAAAAACCATAAATACAAATATCACTTTTAACCAAAAGTGAACATCAAATTTGACTCTTTTTTTTTTTTTTTTT